GCCTGCCTAATTAAGGGTTAATCGGAAGACCAAAGCTGCATGTTTATTTTACCAGAGGAGATGATTTTACCATCAATAATCAGGAATGGGGTAATTAAATATATATATACATATATATTAAAAACACAGGAATCACAAAGGTGGCAACTATAGGAGACTACTACTACCTTTAGGCCTGGGAAAGAGTTAGCAGTTACTGGAGTCTTTAGGGTTAGAAGTGGGGCTCTGGGGACGGGGGCTGGGATCTCTAGGAGGAAATACAAAGGCTGCTTCCGGAATGGAGGAAACTGGAAATGGGAACGCCCTGGTGCTGCAGGACCCACCCATCCCTCCAGGTGACACTGACTAAGGCAGCCTGAGCACACCGCTTCCCATTCTATCAGCCTCCCAGGCCCTCGCCAGCACCCTCTATCGGCAGAGCCTCAACAGGCACCCAGCTGACAGAGCATGGAAGAAACATCACAACAGGGAGGAAAAGCTCCTTGTTGAGAGTAGGGCAGATAGAGTAGCCAGTGTAGGAAGTCTCAGCTCTAAGTGTGGAAAGACTTTTGAAAGAGACCAAACTGTAATGCTAATATTTCTGTGTTAGAAAGGAATCTGCAAATTTGATGTTTTAGACGCATGATAAAATCTATCAGACAGTTTTATAACACCACTTTAAAATGTGTAATTGAGAATTAATTTAGACATGTAATGTTTTATGGTGACATCTACATTTAAGTAGAGCATAAAAGCATTTAACAAGACTAAAGATTTCTCTTATTTATTTATAAGTTTAATTTATCAGCCTCTAAAAGAATTTAGGATGCGGGTGATTTTGCTTGCTGACAGAAAAACTGCGATACATAAAATAGAAATAAATCTATGAAATTTATAAATTCATTTAAGTGTTTGAAGTGCTGAGCTAAGCTTGTAAATAGCACCAGGCATTATTCAATGACTCCTCTGAAGTCATTGCTGAAATCTACTAGACTTATAGAACAATAAAATGTATATGCTGAACTTAAAAACCTAAGTAGTCCTTGAGTTTCTATTTTAAGTTGAATGTTGATTTCCAAGGACAAAAGTAACTAATTATTAAATTATTACATGTATTAAATTATTCAAAGATGTTTGAGCTTACTGATGTTTTAAGGAAGAAGTTTGCTGAAATCTTTTCTACCAAGGAAATCCACTGTCTAGGATGCTAGAGTTTCATCACCCCAGCCCCACATTCACCCCAACCATTCCCATCCCTACTCCATGGGGCTGTAAAGAAGTGGTGGTGGGGGCAGGTATGCAAAGCAGAACTCCACTTTGTTGGCCAATCTTGGCTAATGAGCAGAGGAAGCAGCCCACCCTTGGCTGTTTTCTAAAAAACCAGCACCATTTTTATCCTGCGGGCCGTCAGAGTGCCCATCAGGTGCTGGACTTTGCCTACTAGCCGACCGCTGATGAGCTTTGGGGATTTGGGGATGATGAAATATTCACTAGGGACATCCATGGATGCAGACCCCATACGTGCAAGTTTGGAATGAATCCTGAGGGACACCTAATAACAGGGCTACTGTACTGGCTGGTAAGTGAGGGGACTGAGACCTGGTGGTATGGAGGGGAGCGACTGGGAGATCCATATGGGTCAGACTGATTCACCAGCCCACATGGGAGCCCTGAGAAGGGCTTGTTAGTGCAGAGCATCACTGACCACCACATGCCATACCACACAAAAGCTATGGCTGGGGGCCTGTCTCGCAGACATAGATCCCAGTACCTGATTGAGTGTCGGAACAGGGGACAGGCCACATTAGGCAGGGCCATGACACTAACCAGTACGTGAGAGAACCAGGCCCAGGGGTAGACTCTGTGGAGGATAAGTGGGTCCAAACCTATGGAAATACAAGTCCCACTGCTTAGCTCAAGAGTTGGGGTGGTGACTGGCTGAATTAGAAGTGAACGTGGAACCTGTCAACACTCAGAGGTCCTGGGGCTGAGAATAGGCTGGGCAGGTCTAAGATGTAGCACCTGCATGTGCATCCTAAAACAGGATGCAGACAGCAGCCCATGAAGATGAAAGAGTGAGTGGATCAGCCTGTGAATGACCTTGAAGGCAAGCTCAACTGTGTGGATTTAAAGGCAAAGAAAAGGTTTAAGTAGGGTATGCATTTTAAGAAGATCAGCAGAAGATGCCCACAAGGGAGACATGAAGCCTGGAAGTGCTATTCCAGAAGTGTTTAAGTCATGGAAGCCCAGTCAGGAGACATGTAGCCTAAGACCTAAGTGAAGGACTCCAGAATCATGGCCACTGTGGGAGCCTGGGCCACAAATGGTCAGGGTCAGCATCCACACCCCGAGGTTCCTGTGTGCTGCAGTCTCATCTTCCTATGGTGTACAGTACACCATGTGGCTGGCCTATCTCCTGCTGGCAGAGACATCAGAAGAGGGGACAGGAAGGGCATGTCCCCAGGCATCGTCATCCAACTGGGGAAATTAGAGAGGCCAGTAGAGCAGAGCAGAGAGCGCGTGCTGGGTCGGGGACTTCTTGGAGAGCTCCAGCCAGCTCATCACGACTCTTTGGCAGCACAACCATAGGGCAAATCCTGTAAGAGGACAATCTGTGTCCAGCTTGCATCATCCACTCCTTGTTTTCCCTTAGGATTTCAGTGAGAGCCCCAGAGAAGGGCAGGTGGACAAGGAGTTTCTTGAGCAGCCTAGATGTTCTGTCAGGGACTTTTCAGGGCAAAGGAGTACTCTGTGAAGAAAGAGAAAATCAAGGATTGTGTGCTAAGCAGAATAAGGACTCCTTACTACCACTACCACCAGACAGACAAAAAAAGCAAAACAAAGGTCTGATGTAGATGTGATTGAGTGAAGGACCTTGCGATGGCAATGTCTCCTGGAATATCCAGCTGAGCTTACTGTGATCACAGAATGTTTAAATGTGGAAGGAAAGGGCAGAATACAGTCTGGGTGAGGCAAGGTGGGAGGGACTCAACTCACCCCTCATCTTAGACTTTGAAGGTGGAGGAAGACTACAAGCCAAGAAATGTTGGCAGGCTCTAGATGCTGCCAATGGTAAGGGCACAGCTAATCCCTTAGAGCTCTCAGAGCCTAACACAGCCCTGACGGTACCTGGACCTTAGCGCAATGAGACGCATGTCAATGACATCTAACCTACAGAACCATGAGCTAATGGACACATGTTGCTTTAAGCCATTACATTTGGAATAACTGTTGAAGCAGCCACAGGAAGCAGAAGCAGTGGGGAGGCTGGTCCCTCTTATCATTCAGGTCTCAGCATTAAGTCATCTTGGAGAAGCTCCTTCCAGTCACCCTACCTCTCGTCTCTGGTATTTTGCCATTTTAGCTCATGCAGCAGTCTTCATTGTATGTATACTTGTGCCTGACTTCCAGCTTCCTCCCCAGGAGAGTAAGCACCGTGGCTCTTTGTCCTATCTCTTTGTTTTTAGCACCAAGAAATGCATCTACAAACAGAAGCACCACCAAGTATTTGATGGATCAATGAATGGATGGATGGATGGATGTGGGTGTCGATGCACTAACATGTGTTGGATGCCCAGTGCCATGAGTCCTACTGAAGCACAATGTTCAGGTTACTACAATGACAGCCTAGGAAGACTTGGCAAAACAAAACAAAACAAAAAACAAAAAGCCATGTTTCCAACTGCTCTTGTTGTATCTGTAGAAGTCTCAGCTAATGCTGCCATGCCTTCCTTGGGGTATTATACAGAGTGAAACTTAATAAATTTCTTCCACTAGTGCCAGTGGGGAATATTTAAGGGAGAGTCCATGAGTAAATAAGGCAAGTGTGCCCATGGTCAAACACTCTGGGATAAAGAGGCCAAGCATGCTCCAGAAGAGGACTGGCTCCTCAGACATTTCAGGATTTTCTAAGCTCCATCTACAGGCTCTTTCTCCAGGAAATTACCCTCCCACCCAGTCTAGGATGGCGAGCAAACTCCAGGGAATATTGGATTAGCTAAGACTGCAACCTAACTCTGGAGGGGAACAACAGGAAAGGCAAGTGTGTGGCGGGAGCTGGAGGCCTGGATGCAGCCAGACCTAAGTCTGCTGTACTTGCAAATTCAATCAAGACACACTTGAGGCATCCAGCAAGGGATTAGGATAACATGTCCAAAATGTTTATTGAATGCATCTTGGCAACAGACACGAAAGGTTTTTGGTTTGTGAAATCATTCAGACCTGAGAGTCGCGACAGCTTCCTGTCATTAAACCTCAGCCATAGGTGAAACCTTGCAGAGCTAGGGAGTGTGATTCTTCAGCTCATAAAAGGGAGAGAAAGTGGCTAAAACCACCACAGCTGTCTCTCTTGCAGTGACTGACATGGCTGGAGACACCCACAAAGGTCTTATGTGTGCAGTTATTTACTGAACCAGTATCAGCTGTGTACAAAGAGAAAATCATATACTAACAGTCACCAGCAGTTGAGTACACTGGACCTCTCCTGGCCTGAGCACCCATATATTTAACTGACAACTGCTATCCTCCTCAGGGTCATCAGAGATAGGAAAGAGGCATTCAAGGCCTATATATCATTAATTCTGTAAGCTAGAAAGTAAACCAGAACATGATCAGTTACTTTGCCTGGATCAATAAAGAGTCTCAAGAACAGGTGAGTGTACTTGCAAGGACAGAAGCCATCAGTTAAGTAAATCATGTTGTTACCCACTGAATTCCCACTTGCTAACGCTTGATAGCCAGCTTGTGGACAGATATTATTTTTGTGTTTAAAAATCTCATTTGATCTTCTTTGGATGTTTTTCTTCCCCCATTTCCTCAAAAGAAAGAAAAGGAAACAATTTTTTTTTTACACAAAAATGTCCAAGTCACAGCCATCCAAAGCACAGTACTAGGCAGGTGTACTTCAGCTCTTCACCCAGCTTAGAGGATCTGGGCTTAGGTGAGCTTAGAGGATCCCCTCCCACTGACAGCTTTACCTGGTCCTCTTCCTGTTGGAAGCGGGGGGTCGCTTTCATCTTGAGATTTCACCACACAAAGTCCAAATCTTTGGGTGAAGGAGCATCCTGTTATCAAAGGAAGCCAGTAAACAGATACAAGGAGAACAAGAATTCAAGGTGAATTAAAAAACTCACAGACCGGGGGATCAACGTTAAGGACACAGGGCAGGACCAACACCTGCTGTCCCAAATGGCATCTTGAGACTTCACATGTTAGAAACTGCAGACACTTCAGGGAGGTCCTTTATCCCAGGGAATACACAGAAACTGTAAACACAGACACATTCCATTTACTACGATTCTCTGCTCTTCAGGCAAACTGAGTCTCCCCTCCCCATACAGCTTTTCCACTCTCAGATACAGGCCGTTCTGGATTTGAGTGCAGCTGCTTCCAGAACCAGGTGGCATAGGAGTCCTGTCCACCATGGGTCATTTTGTCCAGAACCACTTCCGGTCTCCCTTCTAGGGGAAGGGGATTGCTGCTTGCTCCTTAGTTTGAAGACACACCCATCTTGGAAAGGAACCAAGCAAAGATCTGCCAACAATTTGGTGAAATAACATGCATTTTAGAAATTCAAGTCAAATCCAGGTAAACAGACTCTTCGGTTGGTGCCTAGTCCCTCAACACCCACAATGGGAAAATGGATACATTTCTGAAATGAGAGAGGGGTGAAGGAAGCAGCTACACCCTGCAGAGGGGTGAATCCCTGGGGCTTGGGAGGAAGCCTGAGAGAGACAAAATGCTGAGGCTTTCTGAAAGACAGGCTGCAGCCTTGGGGCCCTCCTGGGATGCAAGCCAAGGCCTTTGTGTGAGCAGCACACAGGATCTGAATGGAGGTGAGGACAGACTCTCAGGCACCAGCGGGCTAGCTCCTTCCCAGGAGCTCTGGCGCTTGCTTGGTAGGGCTCGCTTTCACCCACGCACAAGCTGGGGCTGCAGGTGCCACTCTATTTCCTCTCTCTGCCTTCAGCCTCTGCATTGCAAGGAATCTACAGGGAACAGACAATGGCCAGCACATTCCTGAGGCTTTGCTGTGTGGTTCCAGTGAGGCCAGGAGCAGTGGGATACAGGCTTGGGCACCTCAGGCAGCTCAATGTCTGAAAGGCCCAAAGATGAGCATCTGGATCAGGAAGGCCAGGAAGGCCAGGCTGAAAGCGAACAGCAGGCAGCTTTGTCTGTGTGTCTCTTCAAGAGCTGGTCACAGTGAGCCACCTGAAGAGGTCTGACCAATGTTTACCCCTCTGGCACCTAGGTCAGGCCTGGACCTTAAGGGAAACAAGGCAGCAAGGCCCACGGTAGAGACTCTTGGTGGTCCACAGGATGGTTATCATCCAGGTTGTAAAGCAGGAGCTGCTGGAAATCCTGGAGGTGGTGACTTAGCTGAGGGAAGCACAGTTCAGCTCCGAATCCTCTTGGCTGTCTCCTGCTACCTCCTGCAGGCTGTCAGGGCTGTCAGTGATGTTGGGCTCGCTGGAGCATTGCCGGTGGGGTGGGGGGAAGCTGGGTGGCAGTAGCAGGCACTTGTCCTCACTGCCAGCCTCCTCCCCTAAGCCCGAGTGCATCATGGTAGCCATGGCCAGCAGCTGGATGTCTGAGTGGGCATTGGCCACTGTGTGCCGCCGGACACTGCCACACTTCTCCAGGTACGCCTCACCTTCCTGCTCTGTCAATGGGGTCAAGGCCATCTCATTCAGCGGCCTGTTGCCTGTGGTCATTGGTGAGGCATAATTCAGGAGAGTCACCTTGGGCCGGACCCTGGAGTGCCGCCTGGCTGCAAGAGAAAAACCAGCAGAGGTTGTCACTGAGACAGAGGGCTGTGGGTAAAGCTCCTGGTCACTTTGAGGGAAGGTTAAGGCATGCGGGTCCTCGGGAGCAATGCTAAGCGTGGTCCTGCTGAAATGCAAGGAAGGAGCTTGGTGATGGCCAGAGTGTCTCCAGCAGTCTTACCTGTTGATACCAGATCCCACCCCTTGATAGATTAGGATCAAAGGAGTATTCTGTCTTTCCAGTCTGCTGCCTGAACTTCATTGGATTCTCCCCAAATTGCCTTTCAACACATCTCCTCTGAAGACCTGTGCATTGAACCTGAGCAAGTTACTGGGACAGGTACACCCTCAGGACACAGCCTGGCTGGAAGGCAGAATCCATGAATGACAGAGAAAACCAACGCATGCAGGACAAGCTATATCACAGGTGTGCCCTTGAATGCCAAGTGGAAGCATCAGTGATGCATTTTACACAGTCAAGGCCATGGCCATGGGAAGGCTGGTGAGGGAGAGGGGTAAAGCTGCAGGTCATAAGGAAGGATAGGTTGGAGCTAAAATGGTCAAATGTGAGCAAAGCTGGAGAGAAGGCTCTGGCATTACTTGTTAGAATAAATGCAGTTGCATGTGAAAAAAAAATGAATTGGAACATCACAGATGGGTGATCAGGACAGGAACCAGAGTTGTGCTGGTAATGAGGAGTGAGTGAGGAAGAAGACAGCAAAAGACACCAGAGGGAACCCAAGAAAGGAGAGACCATCTAAGAGGCACAGAGCTGGGGGACAGAAGGCAGGGGCAAAACAGACTTGGGGAGTGGCTACGGATGGAAAGAGGACAGTTTCTGAACCCCAGAGTTCAACTATGGACTCATGGAGTCTGGGACCCCAAACCTCCACCGGCAGGTGATTTGCAACTATGACAGGGCAGGAGACATTTCCAACCAAAGATGGGTACTTGGCTCCATCCAAAGAATTCCAAGGGGCTTTACAAACTACTCAGATTAGATTTAGTGACTAAAGCAGAGTATGACCATTGCAATTTTTTTTTAATTTCTTTTTCAATGGAACTGGAGTTATCCTGGGTGTTCTCCCAGGGTGTTCTAGTTCAGTCTCTGACAAGATGATGTGTAGGTGTCTGCACATGTGTGTTGATGCTTCCAGGGGTTATGTTTTTGGGTGGGTATCATAGGGAGTCCTGCCTAGATGCACGTGCACAGCTCACTGCAGCTCCTGTCCTGAGAGTGGTGTGTGCATGTGTGAAGATCACCACAAGGGAGTCTAGTTCCAACCCTCAGGACTAAACTATCCAAGTCCACTGACTCAGAATCCAAGAGAGTAGTTTGGTGGTAATCACTTTTCAAAACCAAACAATAACATGCAGAATTTAGAGTTCTGAATTAAAAGCTTAGAGCACACTCCCATCCATGGTCTCACCATTTAGGCCCAGCCTCGCTCTAATAGAAGCAGGGCTGGTTTCTTTATCACCACTGAACAGATGCAGAAGAGCATGACTCAGCCCCCAGGCTCTTAGATGCTGAATAGCAGTGCCCAAACTCTCCCTGTTACATGTTGCCATGTTACAGGGCACTGCCACCGCCCTCAGAGGACAGAGAACAATGAACATCACCCCCCCCAAAGGGTTGTCATTTGTCCAGAGAAGTGAGGTGCTTAGGACCCCCTCTTTTGGAAACAGGAGACAAAATGCTGAGGAGCAAAAGCACTACTCTGGGCCTTGCACAACAGCCTAGTGGATAAATCCTTGCCCGGATGGGTGCCCGGCTGCTCCAGTTCCCACCCAGCTATTCTGCCTGTAGCCCAGGAAGGCAGTAGAAGATGGCCAAAAGCCTTGGGATCCTGCACCCAGGCTGAAGACCATATTAAGAAGCTCCTGGCTCCTGGTTTTGGATCAGCTCAGCTCCAGCTGTCATGGCCACTTGGGGAGTGAACGAGTGGACAGAAGATCTTTCTCTCTGTATCTCCTCTCTGCATGTCTGCTTTTCCAATAAAAATAAATAAATCTTAAAAAAAAAAAAAGAGGATGGCTCTGTGCTGGGAGCCAGCAGAGGGTCTCTAAAGCACGATGCTTGACCTCTTCAAGTCATGCATTTCTCTAATATTCCCACATCCTTAGAATAACCACATATTACTTTTATGATTACAAAAAAATCGATAACTATAAAACAGAAGCACCCAGAGAGTTCAAAGCAGCAAGGACCCCATTAAAGAACAATCCTGTAAAAAGAAATGCCCTAGGAAGCAATTTATTTCTCTCTCACTGCTGTTACCTGCAAACACTTTCAGGCTGGCTGTTGGACGAGCCTGGCAGAATCCTGGACTGAACCTGTTCAGTGAGCAGCTGCTACATACAGATCTCTGGGCTCCTAAGACCAACTTCCTGCCCACCAAGGCAGGGCAGGGTTTGTGCAGAAGGCAGAGTGGTCCAGTGCACAGTAGCTACATCATTTCTGCTATTGACACAGTCTCCAAATCCTGCTTTATGGGAGCGTGGGGGACCCTCTCAGCCTGAGGATGAGTATCTGGAGAGTTCGGATAGTCATGCCAGCTTCTACAGTATGGCTAGCTCTTGCGATAGCTGTTGGCAACACAGGGAACCCAAGAAGAGGAAGGAGCTGGAACTTGGGATGGCTCCACAGAAAGTTGAGAGAATAGGAAACTGACTAACATGGCTGGCAGGTGCAGCTTGTACAAAGGAAATGAGAGCTGGTTTAATGGTTTCCCAGGCCAGTGGAATGAGCCAGAGAAAGGGATCTGGTAGGCCCTGGATGTTATCTGTATTGGTTTCTCTCTTCTCAGCGGCCCTAAATCCTTGGGGCCCTTAATAGCCACTCTGGTTGCTGCTGACAAACTCAGAGGCCAAAAGTAGAAGGCCAAGTGCAGGTGCTCACACTGAAGGAAGGGGCTCCCAATGACACCTTATCCTTCCAGAAGGACATTCTCCTTGAGCTAGTATGCACAAGACGTTGCAGGGGCTGCCAAGAGGAGACATGTCAGTTTGAACTGAGGTCTTTCTTACGGACCGAGCTCAGCACACATGCATGAGTGTGTGGAGGGGACAGGAAGGCTATACTCGCAGCAGCGACCACTTACAACAGGCCAGGTATACTACAGGAAGTGCTTCACTGACATGTTCTCCTACAGACCATTTTGCAGAAGTATCTGACCTTGAGATGGTCAAATAACTACAGTCATGGCTAATGATGAAACCTAAAGCTGGAGCTCAGGACTGCCAGCAGGGCCCCCTACCCAGGTCCTACATATAGGTCACATTCAGACCAAGTCACCAGAGCCACTACCAAGACAGAGCTACAGAGGAGAGCACCCTGAGAATTCAGAGAAGGAGAAGTGATGGAAAGAAGTCAACTCCCTTGGACCAGGCTCCCCAGCAGAGCTTTAAGGCCTGAATCCAAACTGGCCATGCACTCACTGCTCAGTTCCCCAGCGAGGTCTGAGCTACTGCAGGGAATACAAAGGAAAAGGAGCTCCTAGGCAAAGAGGGAGACTGCATCCTGGAGAAAAGAGCCAGGATAGGGTCCAGAGGAGGGAGGGTAAGAAGCATAACAGCTCCCAGCTCAGATGATTCACGGGCCTCCAAGAGCCCAGGACAGCAGGGAGCAGCACAGCCTGGCCTGCCCTAACCCAGGACAGTTCCATCTTCTTGCTGTCTTCTCATGGAAAGACAGGGGCCTCTGTAGCCCCAAGGAGTTAAGCAACCTGCTCCAGGCCACATGGCTGGGCCCAGGCCTTGTGGTTTCCAGGGCCTGGGTCTTTCCATGATTGTCTCCAGCACTCTCTCTGGGCCCATGACTCATGAGGACAAGGTTCTCTTTTCCTTCTGCTTTCTGGGAAGAATATTTTGGTTCCCAAGACAGGGCGTGGGCAGAGCCAAGACCACAGGGGCCTCGTGGCTCTGTGGAGCCAGCCCCTTAAGCAAATGCGTCAGCTGCATCCCCACTAGGGTTGGGCCCCTTGAGAGGCCTTAGAACCAAGTGCAAGGCCTGGGGCTGACAGGCAGCCACCCACACTCCAGCTTCTTGCTCTCCCCCTCTTTTTCTTCCTTTTCTCCACTGGGGGAGGAAAGGCAGGTGCTGTCCCCAGACAGTTGTGTTCCTTAGCTTTGGTGGCTACACGCCAGACCCTAAACACTATGCCTTGCCTCGTCATGCTGCGCCTCCAGCCCGGGAGCCAGTATTCCTCCCTCCTTCCCGAGACCCCCTGTGGATCCCTGGCATTCACCCCCAGCACAGGAGCCAGCTCCTTTCAGAAGGAAAAGCCTGGCCCCGCCTCCTCACCCTTTGTTAGGGCCTCAGTTCCCAGGCCTTTGATCTCCTGGGCTCAACCACAAAGCAGCCATTGTGACCCCTGCACACCAAGCCCTTTGGAGACTCAGCCCTCTCAGGCCAGCACCTGAGAGCCCAAGAACGTGACTCGTGATGCAAAGCAGTTACAGTGTCCTGGCCCGGGCACCTGCCCTGGGATACAATGCTGGGAGCAAGTCATGTGTGGGAAGCCAGGCTTCTGCGGGGAGCTGTCAGTCAGCTGATGGCAGATCAGAGACAGGGAGCTGGGGCCCAAGCGTGGGCCTGATCTCTGCTGAATCCTGTGTCCACTTCACCATCCTCTTCCTAACCGCCCCGCCACCCCCACAGCCGATGCTATAGAAGTGAGGCCCCACATAGCCCAGGGAAGATGGTTCTTTTCTCTCTGAAGCAAGCCTCCTCTATCTCGGGCCACAGGTTCAGATATGCATGGATACGGGGATTTAGCATTAAGACCCTGTGCCTCAGTGACCCCCCTAGACTGCAACCCTTGGGGTGCAGGAGGACAGGAGAAATCTGGGTGAGAATCTGGCTCAGGAGTGGCTTCAGAGCCGATCACCTGGCTGCTCTAGACCATTCCCTGTGCCAGCCCAAGTAAGCCAAGGCAAAACCCCGCCCCAGGGAGAAAAGACTTCCTGTGCCCAGAGCCACGCAGCTCCTGAATTCACTGCAGATGGGCTAGGTGTCACAACCCCTTTCACAGAGGGGTAGACTGAGGTCCAGAGGGTCCTCAAGAAGGTTTGGGATCACATGCTTGACCTGGGATCCCTTGCCCCGCTTCCTCTGCAGCCCCTTAGTTTAATTGTTTCCTAGCTGCTGAGTGGGACAGGCTGGGCTGGAGAAAGAGGGGGGGATGGGAGTGTGGGTGGGGGACTCTGCAATCCTGACTCTATTAGTCAACCAAGATGAGAACAGCCTGGCTTGCTCCGTGGCAGAGCATCAGCCACCATGCCTGTGCCCAGGATGTGGTTTGCACCCTGTGGCTTCCCTTTCTGTTGACCTCTTGGCAACCCCTCAGTTCCTAAATGGAACTTGCCCAGCCACCATCCTCCAGATCCTCCCACAGGTCCTTCCCTTTGCCCGGGACAGTCCCTTCTGTCCCAAAGAGGATTGACTCAGCTAACTCATATTCATCCTGCAGTTGCCATCACAGACATGAACTCTTCCAGGGAGCTGTCGTTGAAGACTCCCCCATGGTAGGTTCCAGGCGTCCTGTGTTCCCCCCACCCCCTTCAGGGCATCTGTACTTGGATGAGTCACTGCTGTGTTGGTGACTTCCTCAGCTAGATTCTGTGTGTGTGGGAGGGGGGAATGTAGAGAGCTCTGGTTTTGTTCACAGATACAACTGCAGCATCTCACATGATGGTAAGGCTCTTGGCACATATTGGTGGGAAGAACCATCATTTTAAACATAGTCCAAAGCAGGCAATGCCCTTCTCTCTTCTGCCAGAGGTAGAGTTGGTCATCGATGCCAGGGCAAATGCTCTGGCACCAGCTTTAATATCTGAGAAAACTGTGGGTTAGCACCCCCAGCCCCTTTCAGATGGAAGACAAAAGGGACCTCCTCTTACAAGGGAACAAACCTGGGATGATGGGACACAAGAACAGGTGCATCCTCAGGCCCCACCCACAAAGGATTACTGTGCTGGAGGCTAATCAAGCAGCAAGTGCATGAGAGCTCTCCACTCTGCCTCTATTGGCCTCAGAGCAGATCAGCAAAGACAGGAATCCACTCTGCCCCCTCGGCCAGAGAGCGTCAGGGTGATCCCTGAAGACAGCTCAGGGACCTGAGCATCTGACTGTGGTACTAGGACACACAGTGTGCACAAGCTTTACCGAAGAACCTTGTGCTGTCAGCTCACTGCCTCCCCCCAAACTGCCTCCCAGGAGTCTAGTCTAGTCCTTTATCTTCGCACTCCTCTAGGGCTGCCTTTGTGGCACAATGTGTTAAGCCACCACATGATACCAGCATTCCATAGGAATCCCAGGGTGAGTCCTGGGCTTTTCTGCTTCCAATGCAGCTCACTGCTAATGCACTTGGGACAGTGGCAGAAGATGGCCAGAGTACTTGAGCTGCTGCCACCCACCTATGTGGAGGACAGGATGTAGCCCCTGACCCCTGGCTCTGGTGTGGCCCAGGTGTGGCTGTTGCAGCCATCTGGGGAGTCAACCAGTGGATTAAAACATCTCTTTGTGACTCTCTCTGTGGTTCTGCCTTTCAAATACATAAATCTTCAAATAAAATGAAAATGTCTTGTTCTTTGTTAAAGATGCTAGAAGTAGCACTATTCATTTCCTGGCTGGCTGTTCGGTATATCTGAAATATACACGGTGATAAACTTCTGGTTGTTCCCTGTTATTAATCTGACAGGGGTCTGTTCCAACTAAGAGCTTATGAGGGTTGGAGATGAATTACTTTTCTTCCCGTACACTGGCATGAGGCCCAGTCTGTGGTCAAGTCACCATGGAGGCCTAGCTAACCCATTGGCATCCCCGACGTCCCCCTGAGCCTCAACCCATAAAGCTCTCTGAGAGCCAGATCAGGAGCGGGAAGGTGGGCATGGGGGGATGGCAAAATACAGCACTCAGCTCAGGGTGGGAAGTGGGGTGGGCATAGCGGTGATGGCAGATTATAGCTCAGGCTGAGCAGGAGACTGTCCCCCCTCAGTGTCATTGCAACTCTGACTCCTACCAGCTTGTTGGGGAGTGGGGGGCCTGGGAGTGTCAGGGAATGGGGAGCATGACTGAGTGAGGAAAGGAGGGGGGCCAGGAACTGGCAGGCGGCAGCACTTGGGGCTGGTATACACTAAATCTGTGGCAGCTATGGTTAAATTGGTGTCTCCAAAGAAACATGCCCAACGCTGTGAAAATTGCCAGGAAGACAGTCCTGCCTTTTGCCTTTTTGAACTGCAAGAGGCCGAGGAAGGGACAGGATTGCCCCTGGACGTTGCCTCTCCCCACTCCCTCCCAGTTTCTTTGTAGCTCAGCTGCAACTGTGTTTTTCTAAGCAGGGAAGCAACCAGTTCCAAATCCAGATCATCTGCTCCTTGCTGCATGTGTCTCTGGACCCCAGCTGCTCCAGCAATGGGGGACAGCTTCCTGCCTCCCATCTACATAACAAGTATATCTTGTGAGCACGTGTAGTGGGCCATGCATCCCCACCCCAGATGCTGGGTGTGGAACAGACTCCCTGCTCACTGAGTGTTCACACTGGAGACAGTAACTGGGGAGCATCTTCTTTCACAAACCCACATTATTAAGCTGTTGGGACCACAACTGTGCTCATGCTGAAAGCCATTTTTTATGAGTACTTAGCACAGAGCTGGGTTCTCTCTCCTCAGCTACCACAAAAGGTCCCACCAGCATTGGTCCCCAAATCTGGAATGCCCTTTCCTTGCACCGAGGGCTCTGCCAGCACCTAGATTCACAGGGGTAGGAAACCCTTTCTCTCCAAGGGCCATTGGACTTTATAACATCATCAGTGAGCCATACAAGATAATCAGTTGAAAAGTTAGTCCGCTATAGATCTATTGCTTTTCCTGTCCCGCTTGTAGCTGCCTTGGCAGGACCAGACTGTGTCATTTTGTAGGCCTTCTTGGGGTTCACTGTGCAGAGGTTCCCCATCTGTGATACAGTTCATAATGGAGGACAGTAGCTCTTGATGACATCTGGTCTGTAGGAAACAGCTGCTGTCACACTTCAAGCTGTTACACTTCAAGCTGCTTTCGAAGGGAAATTCATCCCTGGTGGGTGGGGAGCAGTTTCCACTCAAGCCAGGGGGTAGGTGTACTAAGACACCATTTCTGGTATCAGATACAGAAAAAATTAATCTCCTGGGCACAAGAGAAAGATGAAAGCCACTGATTAAAGTTGTGGCTTAGAAAAGCACCTGCCCACAGAGTCTGTGTAGGTCCTTGGGGGAGAGGGAGAAATCACCAATGGGCTACCAGATACTGTGATACAGGCCATGGATGGGCACCACTGACACACAGGTTTGCCCTGACCCATGTCAGAAGCCAAGGGCTCAGCATGGAACACCACTCAGCAAAAACACAGCTGGGTCATTACCACACCTAGAGCAACATGCCGCTTCCTTACCCAGCGAGTACGTGGGGCCTGAGAAGCCTTGGTCCCCGCTGATGCCGAGGAAGGGAGAAACCACTTGCTTCACCAGCTCTTCCAGTTGCAGATAACCCTCGCTGGGGCCTGTAGGCTCATGAACACTCTGGAAAGGAAGGTCAACGACAGTCAGAGGTCAGCCAAAGTCGCCACACCCAACACATTCTCTGCCCACAAATCCAGATCCGCCCTCCTACAGGGTGTAAGGCAATGATGCAGGCAGGCAGCAGGCTCATGGTCAGAACAAAGACAATTGAGACCTATGGTCTTGTTACTTATCACAGTGACTAGGACTGTGCCTGAGAAGCATCACAGCAGCCTATCCCAAGGGTTCCTGCCAAGTTACTGTGGGTACAGTTGATGCAGCTTCAGCTCCAAGTTTGCCACCTAATGGGTTACAATGACAAGATCTCATTCTCCAGTCACAGTGACCAGTTTACACATAGCCTTTGCACAAGCACCCAGCACGAATTCTTGCACTTAGGCTTCCCAACATACCCAAGAATGAGGCTGCTCTCCTAACCCCTTCTGCAGATGAAGACACAAAAATATGGTGAGCAAGAGTAACCTGTCTAGGAAAACACAGCTGCAAATGGCAATGGCCCTGGACTGGAAGCCTGGCTATGTGGATCTAAGACCATCTTCCTTCTATTTATTAACAGGCCCAAATAAATAGCAAGAAAGAATGAAGTCCAGATAGTAGGAGAAACTGGGATGTTGGCTGGGAAACAGGTGCTTGTTCCCCCCCAGCAGTCAAGATCAAAGTTAGCAACATTTCACCCAGGTGGCAGAGACCACTGGACAAGGGACAGGGCCACCAGCAGGGACAAAGCAAGAGTCTGGGAGCAATGCTCCACCCAAAGGGTCCTCACTTCAGATTGTTCAATCAGAATGTACTGTGAATGTGTTTCTTCCAAACAGTGAAAACTCTCCATTGCATTGTGGTGTTGGCAGTACCACAGGGAGATGGTAGGGCAAGGAAGCAGAAAGGGCTGAGTCAGATGGATGGGGAACCCTGGATGAGACATATGTTCCCAAGGCTTCTTGATGGGCTCCTCTCTGCTGCACCTATGGAGAAGGAAGGCTGGGCCTGGTTAGAGGGAAAAAGGAGACTGCGGAAGGGTCAGAAGAAAGAGATGTGGGAAAACAGAGTGGGCCTATCGCCCCTGCACAGCAGGAGGGGCTTCCTGGAAGAGGCACAAAGTAAGTCTCTACAGCCCTCTTCTTCTATTCCACTTGGGCTGAGATGAAACATTGGGTAAGACAGCGAACAGTCAGCAAGCTACTTGGGCCATACCAATCTGCCCAAACAAAAGGAGTCCCCACTGCAGCAGGAAGAGAGAGGTGAGCCTAACTCATGCTCCCTAGGAACCACACCAGTCCCACAAAGCCGAGCAGCTTCAACCCCAAAACCACCTTGACTTTGCTTCAAAGGCCAGGAAATGGGGCTTCTCGTGCCTTCTGTCTCTGACACCTCTCACCTGACTTCTGCCCCCAGCCTCTGTCCCCTCCAGGTCCTGAGCACTGAGCAGCAGATCAGACAGCAAAAGGATACTTGGCACCAGGTGAGAAGAAACTAGATAGGTTCGATGGCTTCCCAGCATTGGTCCCCTGAGCAGCTCTCAGCAGGCAGGGAGCCCGTGAAAGAACACAGCCTTTAGCACCCACCGGCTGTTAAATTTGTGCAATCCACTGCAAAAATGAAAATCATGGGATTTCTTGTCCAAAATTATTTAGTATGTCAAGACTGATGAGAGAGAATTCAGCCAAGCATAGGGTGCTCTTGCCACAGGCTCAGCCCAGACTGCCCACACAGTCAGGCTGGACAGCCCCTCTGAATGTCCTACTGCCTCAGGCTCAGAATCAGCATGTTCAGGCTGGGGAGCAAGCAGATCTTCAGCCTGGGTGGAATTTCTGGTTGTGACAGCTTGAGGACAGAAACATGCAGCCAACAGCAGGAGCATTTCATCCCCTGGTATAGTTGGGGAAGAGAAGGGTTGGTTCGGGGACTTTTCTGAAAAATGAAAGAAATGAGAGAAGAAGCTCAAGAAAGGACTCTTCCTGTGCTTGCTTCAGGCTGGTTTCGTGTCATGCTACAATGCTGTCATACAGTTGTAAGGTCCAACCTCTCTGCAGCAGGAATGGCTGCTAACAGGCAGTGCTACCTGTAAGTTTGTTTGTTTGTTTTTAAGACTTCTTTATTTTTATTGCAAAGTCAGATGGGATTTTTGGTGAGGAGGGATAGAGAGAAAGATGTTCTGGCTGGAGCTGAGCTGATCCGAGGCCAGGAGCTTCTTCCCAGCCTCCCACCTGAGTGCAAAGTCCCAAGGACTTGGGCCATCCTTTGTTGCTTTCTCAGGTCATAAGCAGGGAGCTGAATGGGAAGCAGAGCAGCTAAAGCATGAAGCAGTGCCCACATGGGATTTTGGCGCTCACAAGCTGAGGATTGAGCCATTCCACCATTGCACTGGACCTTCTCCCTGCAAGTTCTAGGCACTGTCAAAGGCTGCTGCTCCTACTGCTATTTCAGAAGATGGTCTTTGGTGGGGAAAGATGTCCTCCTTGCTGTCACACTCCCAGTCCTAGGCTCCACAGTGCCCAGTGAGGAAGAAGTGATTCCCAGGGCACCAAATGCTCAACACTCAAATGGGAGCATCTCAAAAGCATAGAGGGGATTCCTGATGCCTGGAAGACTGGAGTGGGAAACAAAGTCATCATGGTGGAAAGTATGGAAGAGCAAGAGTTGAGCAAGGGGTGATGTAGCAGCTCTCTCACAAAGCCAGCATGACTCTCCAGCTCAGCTGTGGACTGGGAGAAGCAGTGACACAATCAGGAGGGAGCATGGTCTTGTTCGATTTCCCAGAAATTCACCACACCCCTGAACTGGCAACTTCCTGTTGCCCAGCATGATGGTCACCACCAAGGTGCTGTAGACCAGGGACCGGGAGTGAGTCCTACTCATGCAACTACCAAACACTGTTCAACTAATGCGTGCTTTGTGCCAAAGGCTGTTGTTGCAGACACAAAAGTAGGGAGAGAATGAAGATTCTGCTGGGCCTGGAAGGAGGTTTATGGGCCCCGGGAAGAAAGTGATCCAAGCAGCTGGAATGCCAAGCATAGGGAGGGGCCAAGGTCACAGCACTGAGACTTAGGTTCCAGGTAAGTTTGCAAAGGCACCAAAGCCAGAGGCCAGGGTGTTGACTTGTGAAGGTTTTCACCAGTTCAGTGGGGGAATTGTCCAAGAGTTAGCCATTATCCCGGTGAGCAGGGGGCCAGGGCATGTGAAGAACAATCCCCTGGATAGTGATCTAACCAGGCATCAGAAGTGTGATGGTAGCTTTTTCTCAGCTGTCACATCATCTACCCACGATACATGTCATTTCTGTCACAGGGCCTGCCATTCCAGTACCAACAGGTGAAGTCTGACCTAGAGGGAGGGATCAGATCTGCTTCCAGCCAAACTACCACCACCATCCACAAAGAACCAGGACTGAAACAGGGCCATCATAAGTGAGAGGGTGGAAGGCCAACTATCTGAATCTTCTAGCATAATCCCAAAGGGCACATTTTCCAGGCTTCTCACTCAGGGAGCCAGGATTCTTGATGCATATGCTGTATAAGCATTTCTCCATTCCCTTTCTTCACTTCCCTCCCATAAAAAATTAATACTTGGCCTGGCATTCCAGCAAATTACACCCACCATCATCCATTAAGCAAGCTTGCCTTATCTCTAACGACAGACAAGGGAGTATCCCATCCTGAAGCAGAAGCTATTGTGACAGGGAGTAAGGTTGGGGGTACCCAGTGCCTCATGTTTCATCCCTCCTGTGAGGGTAGCATGTGGCCAGCAGTAGCCTGATCAAGGGCAAGGCTTGGAAAGACTACCTGACAGTTGGAGAACTGTGTGCCCCACTTACTGTAATGGGCTCATTGAGCCCTTGTTTGTACTACTTGATCAAGGTTGAAGTTGATTGGACTAAAGGGAATTATCTGGCTCAAGCCAGGCCAATCATAGCATTTCCCCTGGGGAAGGAGAGGCAGGTGCCAAGTTCTGAGTCTCAGTGCCCCTGCTTGGCTGAGGGATGGCAGGTAAGTGCAGAGCCTTTCCATTTTGGCTTCCTTGTCTGTTAAATGGGAGTAACAATACTGCTCCCCTCCAAGGTAGCTATTGGAGTTATCTGCTTAAGAAAACAACCACTTGAGGTCCTTCGTTCCTGCCTGGCACAGACACAGACTGCCTTGTGTTAGCTCATCTTCCTATAGGTGTCTTAGCACTGGGATTAGGAGGCAATAGATAGCCATTTGAGAGTCTTTCTCATACTGAAAGCACATGAGCCACAAGAGGCCATGATGACCCAAAGCATATGTGCAAGGCACTAAGGGCCCTTCTGCAGAGGGAACAAGGCCAAGACCAGGAAAGAGTGTGGGTAAGGGTAGGAGAAGCAATGTCAGAGAGAAACAAGGTAGACCAGGTGCTTGCAATAAAGAAGTCCAGAAAAGCTGGTGGCTTAGTAGTTTGATATGATTCCTGCTTATCGATCCCTCAAGAAGCCCACTTGCCCTTGGAGCCTCTAATAAGCTCCACATCAGGCTAATACAAGGTCAAGTACAGTGCACTCCTTGTTGTGACTTGAGAGTGCTAGCTATTTGCCGTATTCATTGACAATTGAGGTCCATTGCCTGAAAAAGGGTCTTTGTTTATTTCACTCTCCACTGTGACCCCAGCACCAAGCATGGTACCAGGGACCTAACAGGTATTCAACATATGTACATCAAACAAACCAAGGGGTGCGTACTAAGGGTTACTTAACTAAGCTAAGATACCTACCTGGTCAGGTGGTGCCCTCCCCTCCATCCCCTAATGGCAGACAGCTTCTTCTTTCCTCTCCTCCCTTGACCTTGGGAACACATCTCTACCATGGCCTCACCTGCAGGATGAGCAGCATCTGTACAATGGATGAGGGCAGCTTGGACTGGGCCAGCAGCAGCAGGTCACCCAGCTTCACCTTCAACAGAACCAGATCTCGGAAACCCAGCAGGGAGATCTGGCGGATGGTCAGCTCCTGGCCCTGGAGAAGAGAGCAGAGGGATGGCTGATAAGCCACAGCTCATTGGACCAATCACATGGGATTCAGACAACACAGAGCACCCAGTATAGGATATAATGAGGTGTCTCCATTGCCAGGCCCAGTGGGGTTGTCAGAGTTGAGGACTCAGCCCACATCCTCCAGAACTAAAGCAGTGTTGAAGATGTGGAGCTTGTCTCATTGTGCAGTGAGTTAATGGCTTGCAGTGCTGGTGTCTCGTGTTAGAGCTGTCAGTTCTAGTCTTGGCTGCAAGGCCTTAGATTCCAGTGTCCTGCTGAAGTACCTGGGAGGTCAGCAAGTATGGCCTGAGTGCTTGGACCTTTGCTGCCCATGTGGGATACCAGAATGGAGTATTCATGGCCCAGATGGGCTGCTGCATTTTCTTGGGCTCAGCAGATAAATTCTCTATCTTGTTCTATTTTTTCCTGTCTCTCATTCTGCCCTTAAAGCAAAAAAAGATGACATGATACATATATGATAGGGACCATACTGTCACAGAGCAAAATGGGAAGAAACAAGAGGAAAGATCCATCCCACCTCCCCACATTCAAGCCTACTTCCTCTTAGCATTTGCTGAATATATCAGCCCAAGCATACATCAGAAATAAGAGGAAGACAGAAGAGCATGTGAGATTCGTGTAAGATGTTAGCTACTTACATAAACACAAGCAACCCAAGAGGAGCAATCTGTGGGAAAACAGAAGAGGGACTTTGTACACTGAGCGTGGGTGGGGCGGGGCGGGGTGGAGTGGGAGGCAGGAGGAAGAGGAGCAAAGCAATAGCTAACAGTCATGAGAACTCATTTAGTAATCCCCAGCTTGTGCTAGGCATGATTCTGAATATATTAGGTGTGAATAACACACTTAATCCCAGAGCACTGCTATGATCTGAATGTTTGTGTCTTTCCAGATTCTTATATTGAAATCCTAACTCCCAAGGTGAGTCTGTTAGAAGATACAGCCCTTGTATTGGGACCATGCCCTTCAGCAAAGTGGCAGAGACTTCACCCCTTCTACCATGTGAGGGCACATTGCTAAGATAACAGGCTTGACCAAAGAAATGGGCCTTCATCACACACCAGATTTGCTCACACCTTGGTTTTGGACTTTCCAGTTTCCAGAACTATGAGAAAAAGAGCTTTGCTATTTATTAGCCAACCAGTTTATTTTGTCTGAGCAGACTAAGATGATCATCCCTTGAGATACTTTCTATTTCCCATTTTACAAATAAAAAAACACCCGTAAACCTCATGAATCACAGGAATTTACCCAAGGCTGAACTAGATTTCAAAACACCATGATCGGATTTTAGAACTCCTGCAGTTTCCAAAGATCAAAAAAGATAGGAGGCCTCAATTCCCATGCTATGTGTGCATGTGCAGACTGGAGCATATGCACACACACATAAATAAACTGCCACATTGAAAAATTGTTGTTCCTGGCAGAGATCAAAGGATAAATGGGTACCCTCCCAAATAGGACACAGCATTTCACTCCAAAGGTTGCCAAGGCTTAAGAAAGTTTTACATTTCTTATAACTTTTTGAAATGTATTTTATTTGACATAGAGTCAGAGAGACCAAAATCTTTTATCCATTGCTTCACTCCCCAAATGCATATAACAGCTGAATCCGGGAGCCAGGAACTCTATCTGGGTCTCCCAAGGGAGTGGCAAGAACCCAAGTACTGGGAGCATCATACGCTGCCTCCTTGGTGCATCAGCAGGACGCAGGATCAGACGTGGAGTAGCTAGGACTCAAACCAGCACTCTGATAAAGGTATGTGGCATCCCGAGCATTCACTCAATCTCTTGGACCACAACACTTGCCTGTATGTTAGTTTGGCTCTCTCTACATCCTTCCACTTTCCACCCCTGACACAACCACCTCCCTGCTATGTTAGTTCTATTAATCACCCCCAGGATTGCTTTTCCTGATCCCACACAATGGCAGTGTCTCCCTCCAAGTACTCAGCCTTTGTTTTTTGTTTTGTTTTGTTTGTTTGTTTGTTTTTTATTTTTAGCCCCCACCCCAAGAAGTGTGGCAGGTTTTTGTGCCCTTATTTTATATCTAGGACTCCTTTTACTTTACCAAGGTTGAAGAATATAAAGTTCTCCAACCATGAACACATCTGTCCAGGGAGAAGGCAGACTGACATGCACAGGGATTTGTGATGGGGTCAAGCTGAAATAAAAGACAGCTCAGTAGGTATCAAATCCAATAATGAGAACCCCTAACTCAGTGGCTCTCAAAGACAGGTCCCAATATACTGTTCATCTATTTGTACACTTTCTGGCCACAGTATGCTCAAATTAAACATTCTTCCTGTGTGTCTAAGGTATTTTGGCATGTGATTGGCATTTGGATTGGCAAACCGAAGAAAGCAGGTGGCCCTCTCCAAGGTGGGTGCCCTCCACCCAATCCTTCCAGGGCATGAATAGAGCAACAGGTGGAGGAACTGGATTATCCTCTTATGCATCCTGCCTGCTTTTCCAGGCTTCAGATGGGTCCATGGCATTGTTTCATAGGAGTTTGGACTCGGCCTGAAACAGAACCCTGGCTTTCCTGTGTCTACCTTGCAGATGGAAGATCACAGGACTACTTAGCCTCCAAAATTGCAGGAGCTGATTTCCTGTGACAAATATCCTTACTTGTGTCCCTTTGAAAACCCTGACTACCAGAGCAGTAGCTTCAGCACTACCTGGAGGATGATTAGATTCTCAGGCTCCACCTTCGATCCTCCAGAAATCCTAGAGGTGCACCCCAAGAAATCTGGGTTTTAATCATCCCACAAGGCGATTCAGACCTCCTGGTCTGCTTACCTGCTAATTCTGACCAACATGCATAAGAAGGCTCCAAAATGAACTATGGACTTTGGACAGAAATTTTTGACACTAAAAAGCTCTCACTGGGATACAGGAAGTGCCACAAAGTGACTGTGTAACCACCTTCCACGAAGAATGGATGTTGCCCCACCACAAGGGCCTGCTACACTGGAGACAGGTTGATGCCAGCCCTGTTGTCCAACCGAGTAGAGTCCTGCTAATTGGTCCAGCCCTATTGCCCTATTGGGGACATTCCTGCTGAGGAATCTACCCACCAAGAGAACACAAAGTCTGGCACACACTCTATGCTCCATAAATCTTCATGTGGACTCAAATGTGGCCTTACCATCTCTCCTTGTTGCAAGCACACATTACAAACATACACAGTATAGCCCCTATAACTTGACTTCATGAGATAGCCACAACCACACTTTATAGTCTCATATCCATTTCTCCAGCAAGTGTTGTAAGTACTACAAAAAGTTTTGAATGGAGTTAATATCCTTAATTACAAGGGTACTTTAACTTGGCTTTATACTTTCTGTCTCTGAGAAATTGAGCAGCTGGTACGTTCTCTGTAGACAGACTGATGGGTAGGGATGCAGGGAACATTATTCTATGCGGGCCCAGGCTCCTTAGTCACTGTGTGATGCTGGAAGCTGACAGGACCTGTACAACTTCTATCCACAACTCTTTGGGGAAGGAAGACAGGGTCAGACAAACTTCTAACACTTTTCCTGTACAACAATTCTGGTAGGAAGAGGAAACTTTCTTCTCCAAGACTGCCAACTCACATCACTGCATTCATTTCCCAGGAATTCCTGCCCCAGCTCTCAAGGCATGCAAAGGCACTCACCATTCTCTAGCACTGCACTCCAAACAGACTCTGTTTTTGTTTGCTTTAGCTTTTTGTTTAAATTATAAGGTAATGGATATTCACAGGCAAAGGGCAAAACAGCTATAAAGGGTTTGGGGAAGAAGAAGACCTCATCTTCTAATCTCTTATCCTCACTCTATTCAAGGAACCACTTTTAACAGGTCTTTATCCATGCTTTAGACAGATGTCTGCATTTTGGGTTCAGACCGGCCAAAAAACTTGGCTGCTATGGCCATTTGGAGAACGAACCAACAGAATAACAATTCTCAGTCTCTCTCTCTCTCTCTTCCTCTCCTTTTCCCTTTCTCTCTGCTGTAATAAATACAGTTTTAGAGAGCCGAGGTTATCCTCTGAGTGTTGTCCAGGAGGGAAGCAGCAGACTGATGATGTGAGCTCAGCTCAGCCTCCCTCAGCAGTTCACAATCTGGACCACTTTGCTCTTCTCTGGTACTGCCATCCCAACCCCAAGGTCTTCCAGGCATATTCCACCACTTTCCCCCCCTCTTCATTTGAGATACCTGCAGGTATTTGGGCCAGGTAGGAGTAGTCACATTATTTATGTGGCGAAGATGAATAATTTGCCTTTGGGGCTTCAAAACCCAAGGTTAAACACTACACACATGCAAGGTAAGACATTACACACTCAGAAGAGGCTAGACATATAAATGACCCTAGGGACATGTTAAGTCTTTACCTAATACCTCTTGTGTATAAAGCTGAGCCAGTCCCAGTTCAGCAACATGGCACCACCACTTAGTGTTAGAACTGGCTCTCATAGGCATGCCATTAACGTACTATAGCAACTTGTACTATCCTGCAACCCTAGCACTGGTCCTGTAAAGCAAACAAGCCTCTTCCCTATGCAAAATCCAATCTCTGAAGCTAGCAGAAAATAGTTTGGCAATACATGGGATACCCAGTTAAGATCAACCCACCATATCAACAAGCTAATCACTGCTTTCTTACAGGGCCATTTGGGGTCATTTGCCAGGTTGCTGACTTGTTACCAAGCCTAGCCATGTCTTCATCCCATAAGAAGGAATTCATACTGGTCTGTAATTGACTTCTGTTCTTGGATGAGGCAGAACAAAACAAAACAAAACAAAACAAAACAAAAACAAAAACAAAACAAAACAAAAACAAAACAGCAAGCCATACAAACTCTCTCTTCCAGAAACATTAAATGTTCACCTCCTTATTAGCCAAGGTGCTATCGGTTTTTCTACTTAAGCCTAGAGAATAAGCAAAGATAAGAGCATCCTGTCCCATAAAATCCTGAATACATAGACCTGGGTCAGTGGAGAAAAAAATGTTGTACCTCCCACCTTGGATGTTTATCCGTCACGGACCTCCCCATCTCCTCTCAACATTCCCTGTGGACAATCTACATTCCTCTCACCCATGCCAAATGGAATAAAACAAGGTTAGCACAGGCAGGTGTCCTCAGTAGTTGACGGCAGTAGGGAGGAGGCAACCAGTTGGGGTATGACACACTGAAGAACAGAAGCAAAGACCCAAGTCAGCTGTTACCAGTAGTAGACAAGGAGTAACACCAAGGATGGTATCTTCCATAGACTTGTGGGACTGGGCCCCTGTCTAGCTTTGAGCTTCTAGAGACTCCCTCTTCTCACTGCTTGGACCTATATCTACCAAGCTCCCAAAAGCCACTCTTCATTTTGTGGTCATTCAGTACACTTTCACTCTAGAAGTCTCTTCCCAAATAGCCCCAAGGCAGATGGAGAGCTGTGTGCTCCCATCCAGTGAGAGTGCCAGACTTAAAAAAAAAAAAAACAAAAAACACAAGATTTCCAGTAACATTTTAATAGTTATGGTGTAAAATGTTTCAAATATTGCATTATTCATTGTTTATATGAAATTTAATATCTTGAGCATTCTGGTGTTTTATTTGCTAAATCTGTATCTAGCATCTGCCTCCCAAGCAGAGCAACCAGTGCTGGCTGCTGTGATTGCCATTGGCAAGGGCAAGGGATGGCACTGCCCCCATAAGTAGAGCATGGGGTGGAGAAGAGGAGCAGGCTGCAGGCCAAGGCTTCTGCCCACAAGTGTCTTCCTGGAAACCTCAGGGGCAGGACTTCAAATGGAACAGGAATATGTCAACATCCCAGCTGAAACACATTTGACCTACATTTTAAGAAATTCTGGATTTCTTTAACACACCATGCAGTCCAAACAATTCCTCTGGGCCCTGACCTCTTGTAAGAGGCAACCCCAGCTCTGGCTGTGCTCCTGGTCAGTATCCTACACTCAGATATCAGCAAGTCCTCACAGCACAGGAAGCTGTGAGTCTACCAGAAGAGGAACACACAGGACATTCTCAGGGGAAGTGGTGGCGGCTCCAATATGACATAGTAGTACACTTTGCAGAGCCCTGCAGAGGTACAAGGAATTGAGCCAAAGGATGAGAATGCTGAAAATCCATCACCAGACTTACGTTCAAGTCCTCATGTTGTAGGACAGCCAGTGCAGGCATGCACTGATGCAATGGTACTGCCCAAACCCATATGCTTGAATCCAAGTCTGCAGATTCCTAGTCTGGTACTCTTTCTACCACATCATAGTGGCTGCTTTTTTTCAGAGACTCTTGATGGACAGGGAAAGGAGCAGATTTCTTTCCCATTCTTTAAGGGCAACAGTAGATTTGCTCGGAATTTTGCTTCCCAAAGAAGTAAAGAAGAGAAGATGGGAAGAGACACTAAGCAAAGTCTCCCTCCCTGATCTCCTGTTTCTTAGAAAGAAAAACAAACGTACCCAAAAGTATAAAAAAATACTCAACACCAAGAGGGTAACATGAGCCTACAAGTTACAAGTTTTATGAGGCCTCCTGTTCACTTGAAGCTAGGTACAAACTATAAAATAGGATTCTGAGAAGATCTCCAAGGTCCTTAACCAGCTTATGCATCCAAGCTCCAGAGAGCCACAGGGAGCAAAAGTCAAGAGAGAAGACAGATTGCTGGGAACAGCAGGCACTCACTCCCCCACAAGACTGACCTGAACTGGATAAAATATTGCCTGCAGGGTGGGGAGAGTCTCAGTGAAGAAGTGGTCCCAGACTTCAGCCAGAACCTCAATGCGATTTTCACCTACAGGGGTTGAGAAGATGGGAGGAAAAAGACAAGCACTTGTGATTAGTTGTAGGAATGCCCAGAAGACAGTTCTATGTAAAACATACAGGTGTACATGCTAGAAAACTGCAGCCATGAGCCCCAAAAGCCCAGAGAAAGAGACAGGGAGACAGAGAGACAGAGAGATGGCAGGACCACGGTACTGCAAGGCAGTTGTTGCTGGCTAATGCCAGCAGCTGTTTTCAGGGCAGATATGTATCTCATCTCACAAGCATTTGCATACTGGTTGAAACTCCTATCTCACAAGTAAGATTCTAAATTCAAGAAACAGCATTGGGACAGTAAAGAGAGCACATTTGCAAGGTGTCATCACAGTTTAAACGTGGGGTTGAGGCGGTGGGCAGGGTGGGGTTATACTTTGCATATGGTTTAGTCCCAAAGGGATCACTTGTTAGGAGTTTAGTCCTTAGACTGGCAATGTTTAACAGGGGTTGAGACCTTTCAGAGGTAGATTCTGGTGGAAGGTGGTTAGTTCATTGGGACAGCACCTTGGGAAGGGCTAATGCTGCTCTTGTGGAAGGAGTTAATAAGCTAGTTTATTGCAGTGTGCTGGTTGAAAACAAGGGATCCTGGGGGCAGGTGTATAACACAGCAATTAGGACTCAGCATCCCAGTTCTGAGTGCTCAGGATCAAGTCCCATCTCTGCTTTTACCCTAACTTCCTGATGATGTGCACACTGGGATGCAGTAGGTGATGGCTCAGGTTATTGAGTCCTTGTTATCCACAAGGGAGACCCAGGCTGACTTCCCAGCTTCTGGTCCTGCCCTGATGATTGTGGACAGTTGGCAAATTGATCAGGGGATAGATCACAATCATGACACCATTTGCTGTAAGGTCCTCACCACAAGTTGAACTAATGGGGCTGCTGCATCCTGAACTTACAGCCGCTAAGGCTGAGCTAAATGAGCTTCTTTTCCTTATAAAGTACCCAGTCTCAGCTATTTTGTTGCGTAACAATAAAAGGACTGATAACAAGCATAAAGACTCAACTGAAAATAAGCAAATTTGCTTTTCCACCTCACAATTCAGAAAAGGGAGGTGAGCATTTCAGGTCACGTAACGATTATCATCATGTGAGCAACATTAGCAAACTCTGCACTAAATCACTTACCTATAAGATCTCATGAGCAGACTGTGTTATCCCATTTTATGGACTCAGGGAGGTCAAGCAACTGGCCCAAAGTCAACAGAACCAGCAAGCACAGGTGGGATGCCAGAAGCCATGTTCTTGACCACCCTTATCCAGGAAGACCATGTGCACGGTTACATCCTGTTTTATTTGTATAGTCACCAAGATGCTGCCTTTCTTCTAGGGCTACCTTGTCGGTGGAGAAAGACACAAAGAAGAAAGAGAAGTTGTCACCTCCACCCACTGCTTTTCTGCAACAGGGGGTGGGGAGCATTGTCCAAAGAGACACTCTGCAAAACACGGGAGCAATCTCCTCACTCTATGCTACCCACTCCTAGGAGCAGGAAGCCTGACCTGCCTCCAGGTGCCAGCTCCAGGACAAAGGGCAGAGATCACCCACACCACTGGAAGGCTCCAGGACAGAGGGCAGAGGTCACCCACACCCTGGAAGGCTGTGTGAGGAACTGTGCCCTTGCAGGAAAGGCAGACACTGGCAGGGAGGAGCATGCACAGCAACTGCTGCTTAATGACCTAGATAACAGAGCCGATTGGCCCCTGTCTTTGCTCATCCAAGACAGAGAAACTGGGTCAGCCAAGATGAGATGCTGAGAGACATGTTTAACAAAACACTGCTAGTTCCACTGCACAACACTTGAAAGATTCATTTAGCGTCATCTGATGATTAATTTAATGAGTAATAAAGGCAGTGGCTGGGGTAAGAGAACAAGGCCCGTACATGGTAGTGAGCAGGTCCAATGATGTGCATGTTTGGAGTCACATACACTGGAGTAAATGACAAGCCCATAATGTTCTCTACTTTCCCTCACAAAGCACTAATTACACCTTGTTGAAATTACTTGTATACTTTCCTGTCTGCTCCGACAGAATAGTCATGAATACATAGGTCTGTCTGTCCTGCTTACTATTCTATGTCCAGCACTTGGCACACAGCTACACATGCCAATAAATCGATTTTTTAAAAATCCTTGAGTGGGGCCTGGTGTGGTAGCTTAGTAGCTAAAGTCCTTGCCTTATAACTGCCAGAATTCCATATGGGTGCCAATTTGTATCCTGGCTGTTCCACTTCCCATGTAGCTCCCTGCTTGTGGCCTGAGAAAGCAGTCCAGGATGGCCCAAAGTCTTGGGACCCTGCACCCACATGGGAGACCCAGAAAAAGCTCCTGTTTCCTGCCTACGGATCAGCTCAGCTTTGGCTGTTGCAGCCACCTGGGGAGTGAATCATTGGATGGAAGACCTTTCTCTCTGTCTTCTTCTCTCTGCAAGTCTGTCTCCCATAAAAATATAGAAATCTTTAAAACAATCATTGAATAAATGAGTGGCAAATACCAATTGTACAGAGTTTTGTAAATGCTAGGGCTGGTGAATGGAGGGTGGCACCATTTAACTCAATATGAGATGGTATAGAGCAAAACTTAATGGTATGCATATACAAATCAATGTGTTAATGGTACAGTGCAGAATTTAGTACCAAAGAATTTCTGTCCAAAATCCATGGTTCATCTTGGAGCCTTCTTATGCATGTTGGTCAGAGATAAGCAGTCCAGGAGGACTGAATCACCTTGTGCGATGGTTAAAACCCAGATTTCCTGGTGCACACCTCTAGGATTTCTGGAGGATCGAAGGTGGAGCCTGAGAATCTAATCATCCTCCAGGCAGTGCTGAAGCTGCTGCTCTGGTAGTCAGGGTTTTCAAAGGGACACAACCAGAAGGAGAAATCTCCTTTGTTATTGAGTTAACCAATCAGGCAATCACCATTCTCTTTCAAAGCTAGGATATGTTAGTTCCCTGCAAGGTGGAGGTGCGGAAGTCCAAAGGATAATCAGGGGGCCAACACTGCAGCACAGAAAGTTAAGCACCTGCTAGCAACATCAGCATGCCATATCAGAGCGCTGGTTCAAGTCCTGGCTGCACTGCTGCATATCCAGCTCCTGGTTAAGGTGCCTGGGAAAACTGACATGGAGGACCCTGTTGGAGTTCCTACTCATGGCTTGACCTGGCCTGTCCCAACTATGACCATCACAGCTATTTGGAAGGTGAATCCGCAGATGCAAGATCTCTGTCACTCTGCCTTTCAAGTAAATAAAATATTTTTTAAAAATCTAAAACATTAGCTCACCTAACATTAGGTTCCTAAAATCAAAGGGACCTATACCCTAACGGGGGAAAGGAGTCTGTATCTCCTTGGTTGATTGCTGTTTTCTTAATCCTTCCACAACCAAGACAGAGACCCAAGAAGGAGAGAGAAACCTGCGAGTCAGTGCCAGTGCCTACTTGCTTTCTTCCATTGCCAAGGTGGAAAGTACATCAGTATGGATAGTCTTTCAACCTGACAGCAGTAAAGTTGCCATCCGGGAATCTGGGTCTATTTGCTGACCGCAAACAAGCACTCAGAGACATTCATTAGGAGAGACTGAGACTAGTTAAAAAAAAAAAAAGGAGTAGTGGTGGGGAGGAATGAGTTAACAGAAACAGGTGAATTCACTTCCAGATACAGCCCTTAAGTCAAGGACTCAGCTCCCTACAAAGATAAAGGGAGTTTGGAAGGAAGGTTCTAGATAACTGTCTTACAAAATCTGTCCTCGCATGTACCATGGAAGTGGGGATCATCAGAAGAATATAGATGAGTAAATAAACTTCCTAGAAGTCAAGGTCACCAGTACTCCAGAAAGACCACCGAACACAGCGTCTTCCAACTAAAAGAGGGTAATAATTTGTAGGAGCTGCCACCTGTTGTTTTCTGTAGCCATCAGACAAGGGTAGGCAAACATGTGCATAAATATGTTGTTAAAGTTGTTTCCCAACCAGCTTTTCAGAGCATAAAACAAAAATAAATAAATGAATAAATAAATCAACACAATAATAGTAATAAAAACCCCCTCAGATGTTCAGTCTGAACCATTACAGGTTCTTCTGCATGCCTGCCCATGCTGCACCAAGGGCCCTACACCCAGAACCCTGGGGCTAGAGGAAACCCACAGAGAACACCAGGCCCCCTGCTCTCTGGCCACACTGAGGAAGAGGCACAGCATCTTGGATGATCTTCGTTCATTCTCTCTACCTCCATTTCTGAGCTTTCACTCTGAACACATTCATGTTAATGTCACATGGGTGAGACAGTGAAGTTCCCCTTTCAGGGCATCTGGGTTTCTGGTATTCACAAGAACTGAACTGGTTTTCCACATTTCCAGGAGCTTGTGGTAACTCCCCACATGATTGACATACGAATAGGGTGGTGAGGGAAATTGTTTCCTTTCCCTCACCTTGTCTCGGAAGCATCAAAAGAGCTATTAAGGTCTGCTCAACCCAAGTCACTGCAAAATGAGACCCTGCTACTGACAGATGAATGGCTAAAGAAAATGTGATTTATCCATGCAACAGAAAATCACTCCGCTTAAAACAAAAAAGGGGGGTATCCTATCATATGAATGAAATTTAGAGGACTTCATTTGAGTCAAATTAGCTATCACAAAAGGACAAATATTGTGGGAATCCAATTATATGAGATACATACAGTAGTTACAATCACGAAAACAAAAGGGATAATGGTAGTTGTCAAGGCTGGGGGCAAGGAGAAATAGAGAATTATTCAGTGGATTTGGATTTTTAGATTTGCAAGATAAAGTTGAGATCTTTTACAGGGCCAGGACCATGTCAACATAGTTGACACTGTGGAATTGTAAAATGGTTAAGAGGGTATATTTTATGCTACTTGCTTTTTACTGTAATTTTAAAATGTTGAGGATGTGGTTAGCACATATTTATATTTGTAACATTGAAAAAGATCACAGCATATATGCATTGAAGGGGAAGAATGACAACCAGTTCAGCAAAGTCCCCAACGCCAGAAAGTTGATTTCTAGTCTCTATTCTTCCAAAGCTTGGATGAGTATTTCCTGTGTGCCAAACATTGAAACTTTCTAATGTCAGCTTCTCACATTCTTTCTCCTTCACCTTTCTAGGAACCACCTTATTGAACATTAGCCTTTATGCTAGGAATGGGAAGGGAAAATGGTATGATGTGATGTCTAGGTCTGGAAACAAAGGTGACCTACAGACAGAAGTCACTGCATTCTATACTGTGGGCCAGACATCATGTTTTGCCAATCAAATGTCTTATATTCCTACAATCCCTTGCCTCATTTCATTATCTATCTATCTATCTATCTATCTATCTATCTATCTATCTTTATTTACTTACTTAGTATTAGAAAGGCAGATTTACAAAGACAAGAGAAAGATCTTGCATTCGCTGGTTCCCTCCCCAAGTAGCCACAATAGCTGGCACTGAGATGATCTGAAGCCAGACGCCAGGAGCGTCTTCTGGATCTCCCATGTGGGTGTAGGGTTCCAAGGCTTTGAGCCAATTCCATGCTTTCCCAGGCCACAAGCAGGATGGAAGTAGAACAACCAGGACCCGAACTGGTGCTTACGTGGGATCCTGGCAGTTGCAAAGCAAGGATTTAGCCATTAGGCCACTGTGCCAGGCTTGAATCTTATTATTTTAAAAAATAAAAGTTGAAGGACCAGCACAGTTATTCTAGTGGCTGAAGTCCTTGCTTCACAACTGCTGGGATCCCACATGGGCACAGGTTCTTGTCCTGAGAGCCCTGCTTCCCATCCAGCTCCCTGCTGGTAGCCTGGGAAACCAATCAATGACAGCCCAAGGCCTTGGAACCCTGAACTTGCATTGGAGACCCAAAAGAAGCTCCTGGCTCCTGGCTTCGGATAGACACAGTTCAGGATGTTGCAGTCACTTGGGGAGTGAACCAATGGATGGAAGATCTTTCTTTCTGCCTTTCCTCTTCTCTGTCTCTTCTCCTCACTGTATATATGACTTTCCAATAAATACATAAATCTTTTTAAAATTAAAAATGAATACATAAAATTGAGGTGTCAGTGACAGGATGCAGTGGATAGTCAGTGCCTGCAACACTGACATCCACATGTGTGCTGGTTCCTGTCCCAACTGCTCCACTTCCAATTGAGCTCCCTGCTAATGGCCTTGGACAAGCAGTTGAAGATTCACCAAGTATTTGAGCCCTTGTCACCCATATGGGAGACATGGGTGAAGTTCCTGGATTATTGGTTCAGACTGGCCTTTGTGAGCCTCTGGGGAAAAAACAGCAGATGGAAAATCTCTCTTTCTTAATCTCCCCATCTATCTGTAACACTGCATTTCAAACAAATAAATGCATCTTTTCAAAAAATAAAAATAAACAAGGACTGACTCAGAGAAACTGGTACTTTGCCAAGAGTCACCAAAGAAGTAGACGGAAAGGTAAGAGAGGCCCCTGCATTGATGGGAACTGAAAGGAACTCTTGACACAGTCAAGTGGTTAGCTAATTTTTGCTTCCGACCCCATCTCCCATCTCCGTTCATTTCATTTATATCCTGCCAGTTAGACCTGAAAATCTTTTAATACTAGGAAATTACCCTTTTTCTATCTAGTCATGTCCTGATATAAGCCTAATAACCCGCAAATGGAAAGGACCTTTATCTCCTGTGATTTACCCAAACATCCCAAAGCCTGATAGAAAACAGCCTGGGGTGTATCATGACAGGAGTTACGATATGGCATCCTCCCAGTACAGATCTCCAGGATATATCGCACAATAACCTTACAATTTCCAGGCCTCCAAAACTCTTACCCCAAATCCCAGATCACTTGCTAAAACAGATTTGACCTGCAGGGCTGTGAGTGGTTGACCCAAATAGTAGTACTACTACTGAGTTGGAGAAGAAGCTGACAGGGTGACTCACTGGTTTGGAGCCTGCCGGCTTTGGACAGAAGAATATTAGCTGTTCAAATACCAAAGGCTGAGTCATAGAGCTCCCCCAAGCCCCTGCCCAGCTCCCATCTATACAGGCTGCTTGATACTTGCCTTCACACAGCTTAATCTTCTCCTCCACAAACAATAGTCCTTTTGCAAGAAGCTGGTTCTGCCAAAAGAGAATGAAGAACACAAGAGTTGGGCAACTGCAGAGTGCACAAGGCCAATCCCCTTCTGCCTCTGATGGGCCAGAGTAGTTCTATGCACTTGTGAGCTGGTTGTGCCTCCAGGTTTAACAGGATTTTTGTCATTTTGGGAGACATGGGCTCAGAATAGAGGAGAGATATTCCATACTCAAAGAGCTGGTGAGAAAAGAGCCAAACCCAACTGCTTGTATCCTTCTAACCAGCAAACAAACACAATGTAAGCTTGACTAAACTCATTAATATCCAGTGTCCTTGAGGACTTATATGTTCTAAATTCACAAAAATGGTAAATTATGTGATAATTATATATATACATACATATATATATATTTAAATACAAAGTTTCTCACTCTAGCATGAAGCATGATAATGTGTCCATTACTGAGGGAGTACATAGAAAAGTTGTGGAACGAAACAGCAGTTAATTCCTCTTGGAACTGCCATGAACAATAACCAAGTCACTGCGTAGATCACCTCTATTATATATTTTGCCATTTAATTCAATCCTTTCAGGTTAGTGCACCGATTCTCACTTCACTGGTGGTCAGTGAAGAGACCAACCACTGGAGACAGAACAGATCTCTTTTCATGCTCCTTTGTTGCCTTCTAAGAACCAGACTTCTCCCTTCTCCTCCAAGAGATGTGGAACAGCCTGTAATAAAGTCTCAGAACCTCAGAACCAATGGTAGTTGATGCCTCCCCATTCATGACTCATGATAAGATTACGAAAGGATTACTCTCACAAGGGAGAAAGGGAAGAGGGTAATATAGTTTTAGAGAAAGAAAGAAAGAAAGAAAGAAAGAAAGAAAGAAAGAAAGAAAGAAAGAAAGAAAGAAAGAAAGAAAGAAAGAAAGAAAGAAAGAAAGAAAGAAAGAAAGACAGGAAGAAAGAAAGACAGGAAGAAAGAAAGACAGGAAGAAAGAGAGAGAAAGAGAGAGAGAGAAAACTTAGTACATTTCTTAGCATTTGCTTTATAAACTCCCAGACCCTGTTACAATGACAAAGATAACATGCAAAGCCAAGTGTCAAGAACTTGAGTATCAGACAGAGACTCAAGTTCCAGTGTGACTGCTAATTTTTCCCCATTTACTGTATGGCTCTTATTCTATTTCCTTTAAAATATTTTTTATTGACACATAATAATTACTATATATATATGCAATATCTTCTTATTTCAATATTCGATACATGTAGATAATGTGGAATGAACACATTAAGGCAGTTAGAATTTTTATCATCTAAAACATTATTTTTTCTTGTTTTGGGAGCATCCAAAATCTTTTTTTTAGTTTAATTAATTAATTTATTTATTTTGACAATATTTACATAGTTAATTAGGGTAAAAAGTTTCAAGTGCTACAAAAAAGTGGGTAAGACTAGTATTTTTTCCATATTGTTTCCTTCATGTTTAAAGGGGATATTAAGGGAAAGGCCCACCCAATTTCCCACCCTCCCCAGGTCCTGGATGTAGGGTATGCTCTGAGGTTCTTGCTCAAGTGGTTTTGATATTTCAACAGTTATGAATCGCTGCCAACCTTGCCACTCCAAGCACTATGAGGTCCTTGAAGAATCCACTGATTGACATAGTCCATCATAATAGCTGAGATGGTTGGTTGACCTGTTCTGTCTTCTCTGTTTTCTTGGTTAGGGTTCTGAGTCCAGCATTTTGATTGAGGAGATCTCCAAAGAAACTTTGTCTGAGGTGTGCTCAAACCAGATTCTTGTATGTGCTAGCAAGTACAGGGCCTGGCACAGTCCACCGCCCCGATTAGCTGGTTGATTCTGTTTTCACTCCCGACTTCCACTGGAACCAATGGGTGTTGCAGTCCAGCCTGGTTCTGCCCAGCACATACTCGGCCCTCGCATAAACCAGTGGGAGCTGCAGCCTAGTTGGAGCGACCCGCAATAACCCCCACCAGGCCCGCCCCCCACCCTGGTTTGCCAAGTATGTGTAGCATTAATCCAGTCTGTCCCACACCCTATTCCACCCCAGCCGCTGTCCCTAGTTTTATGCCCTCCCGTGGAAGTGGTAACCCAAGAGGGATGAGTCCACTATTTCCCTCCCAGGCCTCTCCCACTCCCAGATTATGTACTCTCCAGATAATTCTGTGGTTTGACTTGACAGAACTAGTCCCCAGTGCCAGCTTCTGCCAGCTGATGCTGTGGCTAAGCCCAAACAGCCCTCACCCACTCTAATTTTCTTTGCACCAGTAGGAATAATCAGCCCAGCCTAGCTTTTCCCTGATCTAGTCCACATGAAGCACACAGGTGTTGTAGCCCTGCCTAGTCTGGTCTGCCCCCATCTCAGCCCACGTTCTCCTGTGGGAGTAGCTGTCTAGCAAAGGAACCCTCCCTTATTCCCCTGCCGGCTCTGCCCCCTTCCCTTCCTTATTCTCACGCTTGCTGGTTGGGCACTGCAGTCCCTTCTGGTACAGGCAACCTCACCTTGGCATTCCATATTGTGCACTAGTCTTTGTTGCAACCGAACCTGGCTCGACCCACACTGTTCTGGTGCTTGGATTTGCCAGTGGATGACGTGCACAGATTCAGCCTGGTCTTTCCCTGACCCCTGCCAATTGTATGCCAGTGGGTAACTTTCCATGGTCTGTTCTGAGTTGTTTCCTATCATGTTTCTTGCGCTTACCTGCCAGGTCTGTGTCCTACCAGAGGAGTTGCCCAGGCTCCTCCATCAGAACCTTTCCCAATGCCAGGTTTCACTCTTACCAGTGAAACCCAAGAGCCAACCCTACTCAGTCCACCTCCTGTCATAGCAGGAACAGTGACTTTTCCTGACTGGCCTTCAACCCAAACTGATTCTTGCTGTTGGATGTTTCAGCCCAGCCATGGTTTGTCCATACCCACATATGGCTCACACATGGCTCAGTAGGGGGTTGAGACCTTTGCCTTAGACATTGTGGAGGTTGTGATGTAGGCATTGGGTAGTAAGAGAAAGTCCATATAAACTCTACCTTGAAGGTAAAATTGGGGCCTGTATCCAAAGGGGCTGGACTCAATGAAAAGATAAAGGGCAGGAGACAGGATTATCTCTTAGGCAAGAAAGTCTTCCATTTTGAGTTGGGCCAGAAAGAAAGGGAAATGTCACTGGTGGTCCCTGTGGTGACCCAAAAGCTCCACTGACTGCTCAGAGAGAGGTGGTTGGTCTAGAGCTGTGAGAACAATCTCTGGATGTGCCCAGTAATCGCTTCTGGGGATACCAGCCACTGATGGTTACCTTAATCTCCTCAACACTGGTTTAAATGTTGTGCAAATACTTAAATATTTTTATTGTATTTTTCTTATCCTTTTTGAAGCTAAGTGGAGAAGCAGGTGTTGAGGTGGAAAATTGCAGGTTTTACTATAATTGAGATAAAGATGAAAATCAATAAACATGCTGAAGTGACAGATCTTTATTCTCATTGGACTCAGCTTGTTGTATCAGAAGTGGAGGTGCGACTCCATCCTCTGGTGTTGGATATGGGGGTCCAAGTAGTGGCTTAATCTACTGCGCCATAGCACCCTTCCTGAGTTTGCTATGATTTTGATGCACGCTGAAATCTGAGAATACTTTAGGCTTCCTGTGCTAACTTGTCTACTCCTCTTGACAATGGATGCAGAAGATCCTTACACATACAGCTCTCTTTCACAGATGCCGCAGCTGAGGTCAGAAGGGGGTTATTTGACTGTTCAGTTAGGAAATGGTGGAGCAATTATGCAACCCTGATCATCTGGCCACAGAAAACCATCCTCTTGGATCATACTCTAAATATTAAAATACCCTTAGGGCACTTCCTTGAAAAATCCTGTGATAGAAGTTTCAGGGTTACTTTTTATTCGTTTTGAGGGTCTAAAAAAATCAGACAGTTTCTTGCCTCTTTGTGAAGCAATTTTTAGAAGCCCAAGTTCACTGTCTTTGTTGGTGCTGAAATGGTGTTTGATGAAGAATTAGCATTAGTTCTGACTTTCTCATCATTACCAGAGTCCTGCTGGGACTGGCAGGCCTGCAGACAGCTCACCACGTGCACATGGTGGCTGTCGTCTGGGATCCAGGCATGAGACGCCTCGTCCTGAGACCCACCAGCAGCCGGGAGTGGATTAAGTGGAGGAACTTGGGAAACTCCCCTGGCGAGTCATAGCTCCCGCTGGTGAACAAGTGGTCCAGACCTGGGGGTCGGATAAGCTGGGAAAAGTAGCTCCAACAGCTGGCTAATGCTCTGAGAACCTTAATTTTCCTTCTGGACACAACTCAAGACAGACAGAGGGAGAAGAAAACTCATTGCCAGACGTGTCAGTGTTGTCCCCATCAGCGCTTTATGGAAACCTCTCTAAGGCCCCGGCAGATCCAAGGGGTCATCCTCTCTGTGTGAAGCCATAGAAGAAGCCCCATTTTCTTGCCTGTCTTCCCTAGTCTCACCTCAGGTCATTTTCATTATTCTTCGCTCAGAGTATTCTTTTTGTGAGTCTCTCTTTAAGGCTGCATGATGAAAACATTAACTGGAAAAAGCAGAACCACAGAGAGTTCTGGGCTGAGGAACCAGATCCTAGGGCTGGATGCACTTGCATGGAGGCAGCCATCGGCACCTCTGCGTCAAGGAGCCTACGCCCAGGAAGCCCATTCTAAGACCACACTCACGCACCCACACTTTCGGTGCTTTCCCAGTCCAGCCCAGATTCTGCTTATCCTGTGTCCCCAGCCCATAACTGGAGAAACACATTTTCCTCAGCCTCTTCTGACATTCCTCCCTGAAACCACATGTGAGAGTTGGAGGCAAGGCTGAACTCTCTGCCTTCTGCCTCCTGGGTTTTTCCGCCTTCCACGGAGATTGGATCTGCAGAACGAATGGCTGTGGAATCAACTCCTTTTCAAGCCATGCCTGGCATATCCAAACATGAGTCTCTCCTAAGCCACCTTGACCATGGGGGCCAGAGCTACATTATTTTTTGCACACTATTTTTCTTAAGTTAATCCACTTTTTCAAAAATGCAGATGTGTTTATAAAGGAAACTACAAGGAAACTACAACAACATTTGTCATAGTGAATCTCAGTGATGAAAAAAATAGTATTATGAAATCCTAACTAGATGGTGTCTCTAGCTAAAGACGTTAAGTTCAAGGCCTGCTCCCTCTTTTTTTTTTTTTTTTTCAACAAGAGAAGCTGCCAAGTCCTGGGGAATAGCAGAAGACACAGTGGCACCATCCAAGACTCTCTCTGGCACAAGCATAAGAACTAAAGAAAAATAAAAGAGAGAAACATTTTGTAGCCATTGGGTATGTTCCCTAAAATTATTTGTGGTGTCTGTGGTACTCAGTACCTCCTCCTGTCCTATGAAGATTTACTGAGTGCCTATTATATGCCAGACACTACAGGGACTGGTGATGAGGAGGGTGGAGAGGGAAGAGGGAGAGAGAAAGGTAGAGAAGAGGGAAGAAAGGGAGGGAGGAGGAAGAGAAAAAAAAAGGAAAGGAAGAGAGGCATAAAAAGAAAGGAAGGCAAAAAGGAAGGAGGGAAAGGAAGAAAGGAAGGATACTGAGCCTACATTACAAGGGAAAAAAGAAAAACAGCCTAGGAAAGTCTTCTTTGCGGTATAGCATATTAAATAAATAAGGAAAACCCTATATTCAAAATTCTGAAGACCAGTCCCCACCCACATCTCAGAGGCTCACTGTTCACCAAGTAGCTTCTCTGATTACCCTCCCAATAGAAAATAACAAGCGGTTACTGGCTTGAGACTCTGGCATGCTTTCTAAGCCATATGAACCACCCTTGAAAACCTCAAGACTGCCAAGATCAACAAGACCCAACCCAAACGCTCCTCCCTGACCATCCCCTGGGTAACCCCCAATGCCAAGAGACAACTGACATTTAAACCTGATGGAAACCACACCAAGCTATGTCTCTTAAATGTCAAGAAGGGAGGCTACCCAGCCCAGCAGGTCGTTCCAGGACTGATTGAAAAACCACTTCTCCATAGTTGGATTTAAAAACCAATCAATAGCAAGAGACAAGAGCAAGACAGGGACTGACTGACCTTAGTATGGAGAGCAACCACAGTGACTCATAGTTTGACCAATTATCTCTTTCTTAATCTTCACGTTTGTCTTTCTTGTACAAGGACTGTCATCTCTCAAGCTACGGGACCCAGTCTTCTGGTTGCTGTGGGTCTTATTTTGCCCAGGTTTAGTGCATTTGCATTCTGTGTGTGTGTGTGTGTGTGTGTGTGTGTGTGTGTGTGTGTGTGTGTGTAAGAGGAGAGAGGGGCTGCTGTTACTTATTGATACTTTTCATGTTTCTCAAATGTTAAAGTGCACATAAAAGTTAAAGCATCCTGAATTTTACATAGAAAAATAATCAAAGGCTGTCTGGTGTTGTTTTGAAAAGCTAAAATATCTTTAACCTATCTGAAAAGGCCATTTTCTCCCCCTGGGATATAGAATATCACCAATCTGGAGCTAAGTGCTATACAAGTATTCTCCCATTAAAAGGGATGGAATACCCCTGAGAATCTTGAGCTAGGGCCCTTTGTAAATGTAAATGTAACAAACATTTCTCTCATGCTATGCCAACCACGAAGCACTTTATAAATAGCAGGGTATTCAGTCCTCATAACAACCCTGGATCATGAAGTCCAGTTATCCCTGCTTTGCAGGAAAAGAAATGAAAACAGAGAGGCAAAGCAACTTGCTCAAGGTCACATGGTTGGCGTGCAATGAGTTAAGCACCTGCAGCCCATATCGAGGTGCTGGTTGGAGTCACAGATACACTTGCATCCGATCCAGCTTCTTGCTAATGTGCTCCCTGGGAGACATGCAGATACTGGCACAAGTCTTTAGTCCCCTAGCCCCCAAGTAGTAGAGTTGGAGTTTTGATAGAGTTCTGGGCTCCTGGCTTTGGTTCGGCCTAGCCTTGTTTTCTTGGGGGCGGGGAGCATTTGGAAAATCAAACAGTAGATAGAATATCAACTGATCTCCCTCTCTCTGTCTCCCTTCCTCTCTCCCTCTTTCATTCAGCCTTTTAAAATAAATGGTCTTTAAAAAGAAATCAGCATATATGAGGCATCACAGGGTGTGTCCTCAGAGCGTTCTCAAAGTGTGGTTTGGAGTCACTAGGGGAATTCCACAGGCCTTTCAAAAGATCCACGTTTTCTTCGTAAAACCAAGCCAACTGAGGCAGACCTGTGGTTGACTACATCAGAAAGTTCTGGCTGAATTACCATATCATTGTCATTCTCATCTTCATCTCATCCTTGTGGTCTTCTTACCATTCTAATACATCAAACCTACTTCCAGGCTTCCTGGAAGTCTAATAAAACAAAAAAATCTAAGCATAGCCGATATTTTGTTTAGATCAGTTGTTAAACGTACACTCATATTTTCCATGAGCACAGAGTGGAGTTTTCCAGTAAGCAGGCTGTGTGCCATGTTACAGGATGCTGAATCTATGCACAGGCATTGGCAAGTACAGAAAGCAATGCCACTCACTCTTCATGCTAACTTTTATAACTCTGAAAAGTTTGCTTTTCATGGAAATGTCACTTACCTTTCCATTAAGTGTAAGTGACTTTAAAACATTTTAAAACACCTCAGAAAGAAAAATCTTCCGTCTATTGGTTCACTTCCCAGATCATCATGAATAAAGATGGGGCAGGCTGAAGCCAGGAGCTTCCTTCAGGTCTCACACAGCGACCCAAGAATTTTGGTCATCTCTCCACTACTTCCTCTGCTTTCCCGGGCACCTTAGCATGGAGCTAGATGGGAAGTGGAGCAGGTGGGACTCAAACTAGCATCTATATGGGATTTTGGAGCTACAGGTGACAGCTTTGCCCACTACATCACAGCTCCTATTCCATGTTTTAATTTTTAAATGCTGAAAATATGCTCCAAAAATCTTAAATAAGCAATACATTTCTAGTACATGGAAGGATTCCAAGACCAGAAAGCCTAAAAACTGTGGCACAGGACTATACTGTTACCTGCTAGGCGCCCCCTTGTAATCCTGTACTTTGGCACTCAGCAGAGGAGGGATTCAGCATATATAATGTTGGGTGCTGAATGAATGTTAGGGGCAGCATTGGCCATTCCTTTAGGTACATGGATCCACAAGCATGGTAATGATGGATGCTCAGATGCACACAGCTTACCTGGAAGTAGTCAGTAATGAAGGATCCGAGTTCACTCCTCAGCAGCCGCCTGGGGAGAGAAAAACACAGTGAAGCATCCTTGATGGCACCTGCTCCCAGATGCACTCACCAGAGGCCCAGGGAGAGGTCCCCTACCCACTAAGGTTGTTAGGGAGCTGCAAGGACAGACACCCTAGGTGTTCTGCATCTCAAGGTGCAGCAATGCTGATTCTAACAGAGTGGGCAGGGGTTGGCCAGATCACCCGGCTTCCTGGGAAGCAAAACAAAAGCAAGGAAGAGAAAGCCTCCATTCTGCAGTCCTTCACATCAGCAGAGCACTTCATAGTTTAGAGCATACCTGTCACAGATTCTTGTATTATACATCAAAAATTATGTGTATTGGGGTGGGCAGGGGATGGATTCCCATGTCTTCTCTGCAGACTAAGAAACAGGGTCAGAAAGGCCTAGAAACACATCAGTGTCCGACCTAAGACTCCCTGAAAACTCAACTTGACTTTCCACAGCCTCACAAGGATATTCAGGACATCCAGCTTGGTGCACAGGGGGCCACATCAGGGGAAAGACAGGCGTTTAAAAAGCTATTATTAACTCCCTTGAAAGTGTGTTCAAACACATCCCTGAAGGATGAATAGCATCATTGTTTGCAGAAAATAAACACAATGGGATGGAGACAAAGGAAGAAAAACATCCATGATCAGATTTCTGCACAAGAAGGAGCCTTGGAAAGCTGCAAACACCCAGTGAGCAAGGAGATGCCTTCCTTTCCCCATGACAGAAAGCACAACCCTGGTTGCTGTAGGCTGTAGGGCTCTTCATCAGAAAGCTCTAAGAGCAGATGAGTCACTCCTGGAAAGTTACAAGAATACAGCAGCCTTGGGGCCGGTGGTGTGGCTCAGTAGATTAACCTGTCACTTGCAATGCCAGCATCCTATATGAGTATAGCTTCAAGACCCAGCTGCTCCACTTCCACTCCAGGTCTCTGCTAAACAGCCTGGGAAAGCAGTAGAAAACGGCCCATGGGCTTAGGTTTCACCACCCATGTGGGAAGACCTAGATGGAGTTTCAATGTTCCTGGGTTAAGCCTGGTCCAGCTCCAGCCATTGTGGCCATTCAGAGAGTAAACCAGCATATGGAAGATCTCCATCTCTCCCTCTAACTGCCTTTCAGATAAAGAAAGCTTCAAAAGAAAGAAAAAGAAACTAATCTGTCAGGCAGCTCCAAGTAGACAGCGACATTAAAATCTTAAGAGGTGATGAGTCGGCTGTCTTTGGCCGTGGCAGAAAGGTATGCTTCTAACAAACCTCAGTGGCCACGAGGAGCCATTGGCAGAAAAGCCATGCTATGGGGAAAACTCGAAGGGTAGGTCTTAATGATGGGTATCTCAAGACAGAGCTCGCCAAGTGTGTCTCGCATCCTCATGCTGCTGAGGGACTGACACAGACCTGAGAGGCAGGTGGTAGATTCCAGCTTGCAAGGAACCCAGGCTGGAAAAACATTGTGCTCACAAATTAGGGGCCTGTAATATTGAAAGAGAAAGAGATCAAAAGGGGGATTTTTAAGGTAAAAAATGAGGAACATGCACCTAGAACAACACAGAAGAGGGAGCTCTGCTAATGGAATAATGGTGAGATGGGACTAGGTAATAGTGAATCGGGGCTAGATGCGGTTAACCAAGGCAGGATTTCCCTGGGGCATTTCACAGTTGTTCTCAGGGCACACCATGATGTTACGCAATCGGGGAATCCAAGAGGCCTCCCTCTGCTCTCTGCTACTGGGGGAAGAGAGGCTGAAGGCCTGGTACCTTTCCAGTGCAGCCAGGGTCACAGAAGGCCTTGGCCAAGGCCAGAATTCTTCAGAGCACTGCTGAAAACACAGTGTTCAGTAGAATTAATGGATAAACTTTTCCTAGTGTCACAACACTAAGAAAAACAAAGTCTGAAGCTACAGGCAGATGACTCAGGGATGAAAAGATGCTGATGGAAAACCAAAGAGACTCTGAAGAAGTGCCATACACCATGTTGTTAAAGGTGAAGATGAGTTCTTCCGCAAGGAGACAGAGATGATCCACTCCAGACGCTTTAAATGTATCTGACATAACCAGGTACATAAGAGAACAACATGTCAGTTCTTTCATCAAACTCCCAATTCAAACTCTCTCAACTGGATGTATACAAACAGAAATATCCCCAGCTGATCATGTAAGTGAAGAGTCTGATGTCCTGCAAAGGGAAATCTGTAAGCTTCACATTACTCTTAGATGACTCTTAGAAAATTGTGTCTTACTCTGAGCTCATCATGAGGCAGACAGGGCTCCTGCATATCTGTATGGGGTTTTTCATTGGTGGCAAAATATAGAAATCAATATACACATGCGCCAATGAAGCTCTGACAAGGAATTAGCCACATATAGAAGTCTATGCAACTGTGAAAACACAAAAGGAAGTAGATCACTACTTAAGTAGTACTTAAGTAATGATTGGAAGAGATCTGAGTCCCATTCTGTTATATAAAAAAAAAGCTACATCAGAGTGAGTAAATAATATCAACAGGTTCATTTGACAACTCTGCTCTTACAACTTGCTATTCAAGTCTATATTCACTTCATGATTTGGTTTCCAGGTCCTTTGATCTGAAATATATGAATATTGTACCTTGATTTTCAAAGCACGTGTGTGTTTTGAAATCATGAATATAAAACACTAGACCACATAAGGGATTGGAGAAGTGGAAACCATTGCTTAAAATTCACTAGGACAACAAAGAGATATAGAAAACATTATTCCCTGCCCTTGGATATAGATATCACCCTGCAGATGCCCTACTACCCTCTCAGGCCCCAGTCCAGCTCATGGACCTCAGGTAAGGGTGCCATATTGTTGGTGTGTGTGTCCACATGGGGCCCTTGCATATGACAAAGAAACTCAGTGGGAATACTGGATAATTACTAAGATTCTGGGACACAAAAGTGGAAGACTCCACTCTTTGGCCTGTTATAAGTCTGTTTTTTGAACACAATCCTATTCAAAAATAGATTTTAAAGAGATTCCTGAATTAACAATAATAAACATGGTTGTGGCAGCAAGATGACCTGACACCAGAGAAGGAACCTGAATCTCTGAGCAAGAGCAGGGCATTGGCAAGCATAGTGATGCTGACAAACATTGTAAACTCGGCCATTCAGATCCCCCTCAGCCTGGCAACTTGGGAACCGCTGGAACTTAGAGCATGGTGAGGGGAGGAAAGGGGCCAGGGATGGAGATCCAGAAGTCATGCCAGCCACGCAGGCCAGGCCTGGACAACAACTGAGTCACAGCACACATCTCCCATCTGCTTCTAGTCTCTGTGTTTGTTCTGCTCATACTTGGTCTACAGTAAGCCGGGTGCTTCTCAAAAACTCTAGCCTTGTCTCAGCGGGACAGAAAAAGGGATTTTTTGCCCCATCTTGCTTTGCCATCACCTGTGGGACTTAACAGAAAATATTTCATTTAGGAATCACACACTCTTCCCCTTTCCCAAAAGGAAAGTGCAACTGATAGAGAATAGGGGGCCACAGATTCTTCAAGTCAGAACTATTTACTGAGAACTGCCATGGGTCAGACATAGTGCTGGATGCCAGATGAAAAGACTTCTTCCCATTTGGACCTGTATCCTTGAGGTATAGGATATTCATCTGATCCAGAAATTGAGAACACAATATTACCAAGGTGTTGGAGATACATAGACTAGTGCTGGTACAGTAGTATAGTGAATTAAGCTGGCACCTGAACTGCAGGCATTCCACATTAGAGCACTCAGATAGGTGGTTTCAGTCCTACCTGTTCCATTTGCCATCCAGCTTCCTACTAATGCCTCTGGGAAAAATCAGTAAATGTAGGAGGCTTGGAATTCTGGAATTCTCACTTCAGCCTAGACTAGCCAATAGTTGTGCCCATTTGGGGACTGAATTAGTAGATAAAATATCTTTTTGACTCTCTAATTTTCAAATAAATGAGTAAAAATAAATATTTAAATAAATAATTATATCTTAAATAAATAAGTAAAACCTTTAAAAAATAAAAGGAGAAATTTATAGCCAAAATCATAATAAGGCACAATGTCCCCTGTTACCTTACTAAATTTAATTTTTAGATTAATTTTTTGTTGTTGGAAAGGCAGATTTTACAGAGAGAAGAAGAAATAGAGAAATGGTCTTTAATCCACTGTTTCATTCTCCAAATGGCTGCAATGGCCAGAGCTGAGCTGATCCAGCTAGAAGCTTTTTCTGTGTGTCCCACATGGGTGTAGAGTCCCAAGGACTTGGATCATCTTCTGTTGCATTCCCAGACCACAAGCAAAGTGTTGGATCAGAAGTGGAATAGCTGGGACGTGAACTGGTACCCATAGAGATGTGGTGCCACAGAGTGTAGGATTATCTTGCTGCACCACCACATTGGCCCCATATCTTACTAAATTTACCAACTGAATTCGTGAAATGTAAGAAAGAAGAGAAATACAAGAATACACGCAGAGTTAAAGAGCCTGTGGTATGTGGCTACCCAGATGCCATAAGTGTGAAGATGTTGATCCCCAATGCCTAGGATAGATGAATGTTCCTGAAAAGCTGGTAGGACTCGCATCCAGCATTCTCTTTTTCCCATTCTCTTTTATGGCTTCTTCTCTGTCAACATCATAACCATGACTGGTTGAAAGAAGAGGAAAACACATAAGAAGTAGCAGACCGAGTGCTCCTGGGATGGAGTGTGCCTTTTTCCAGTTCAAGTTTATGCAGCACTTGCTAGGTGTCAGCCACTGCTGTTAATAGCATCTGTATTTCTGCATTTACGCCTGTAAGGTGTTAGTAATAGCCCCACTTTCTATGCACTGGAAATACACCCCAGGCAATACAAGCTGGAGGCAAGAAAGATATATTTGAGTTCAAGAAGCTAGGGACAGCAGCCTGGGTCAGAACTCTGCTAGCTGTCTTGTAGTAATTGTGATGGGTGGGGGAAAGAACCTTAGCAAATGCATCAGTCTGTCACATCTACTTTTCTTCAACCAGAATATTGGACC